ATCTAAATCTTAAATCTACGCTTCTTATAAAAAATCTACGCTTTATATTAAAATTAAAAATTTAATTAAATCTACGCTTCATATAATAAATTATTTAAAAAGCCCACGCCTCATACAGTGGTCGAAAAAATGAAAATATTTTTTTAAAAACCCCCCACGCCGCATGGTAGCCCTTAGGTAGCATCAGAAAAAAAAATTAAAATCCTCTAAGGCGTGGATTTTAATTTTTTAGCCTCTAAAAATATCGAAATTAAAACATACATATCATTCTTAAAACAAATTAACAAGTTAAATACCACTACAAAAAGTGGTATAGGCCTAAGATCAATAAAGTCATTTGGATCAATACTGTTGGATCTTAAAGTAGAAGAATTCTTAGTACACCAACAATTCCAAGTTGTGGACAGGAATTTTCCTATATCATGTGATGGTATTCTGGATATAGATTTTATTAAGACATGCATTTGTAATTGGAAGAATCATTTGAGTACCTTAAAAAAAACAATTGTTAAAACCTACACGTACAGTTCTGCAATACCCACATTTTAATAAACAATTTTGTATAACGACGGATGCATGCCAAAATGCATGAAGAGCAGTCGTCAGTCATTGAGTACACACACAGCTTTCCGCAGCATTTGCGGATGCTCTTTCGCGCATGAATGTTAAAGAATTAAAAGAGCAGTACATACGGACGGTAATCAATCTGAAACTAATCAAAATAGTCAAAACCAAGTTAATAACGATTTTCGTGGTAATAAATCAGAGGACACTTTTATTGGAGTGGTATGATTCGGGATATTACCAACTATGTTAAACCAGTGAGCGGAGCAGTATAGTCGGACGGGGCTGACCCTATACAACTACCACGGAACTCTAACTTTTCATTCCGAGCGTGGACAATATTTCGTGATATTTGCACCCCCTTGTCCGATTAGAGGTCAACAGCACCTCTTCCTGACACAGACATATTTTCCGAATATTACTATTATTCATTACAGCCCTTCTGATTACTTGTCTAGATTCTCTTCACCGTTGGTTGTGTTGTGATGTTCAGCTTATAATTGTTCGGTCCACTTTATCCCAAAATTATTATGTGATCATCACCGAAAATTATAAACGTTGTCCTTGACCATAACTGGAACCTCATGGAACATCTCAAAGCGATCAGTGTGGTAATGGCTTACTACTTACTCCATAATGACCCTCTAATAAAGATCTTGCTCTCTATTTGCAAAAAACTCTAGTAGTCGATTTTCACAATCCTCCTTAGATATTAATTTTTATACCCTCCACCATAGTATGGAGGGTATATTAATTTTGGTTTTCCGTTTGTAACTCATCGAAATAATCATGTCCGACACTCTAAAGTATATATTTTCTTGATCAGGGTGACGATATAGCCATATCCGTCTGTCTGTCCGTCTGTTGTAATCATTCTAGCGTCTAAACGAATTGAGATAGATCGCCAAAATTTTGCATAGTCTTTTGTCTGCAGGCAGGTCAAGTTCGAAGATGGGCTTTATCGGTCCACGTTTAGGCATAGCTCCCGTATAAGGGTACCCTCCAATTTTCGGTATTTTGTATACATTGGGTTCTTATTGGATACCAAATATCTCCACAAAAAATTATAAGTACCGGTGGACTTTTTCTGGTACTCCCCATATAACAGTACCTCCTAATTTTCAGTATATTGGGGGTTTTGATCATATTCCCCATCTTCGAACTTAAGCTAATTTTGGAAGAAATAATAAGGTAGGCAAAGTTTGGATGAAATCAAAATTTTCTGAAACGGATTTGGTCAAAAGAAACATGGGGTCTAGAACCAATATTTCGATGAGGCACATTTTCACTGTATCAACGTGTATACACCCCCATTAGCCATAAGCTAAAACTTGTATTTGGTGCACATTATGATTTACGTAATCGGTTTGTAAAAATATCGGTATATGTCCACTTTTTGGTATGTTCCCTATATTTTCATTTCAAGTATCTGTCAATATATCTATGGTGGAGGGTATCCAACGCATTTTCACTTGTTTATATTACCACCATCACAGCTTCCACGCAACTTATTATTTATTACCAACATTCTAAGATTTTGACCAGGACACTTCATTTTATTGAAAATAATTTATGCAATATGTTCATATTTCGCGTGTTATAAGCTTTCAAACCTCAGTTTCAGGGAATTTAAAAAATTTTTGTAATTTCCCATATATAGCATTGTCCGATTTTATATGAATGGTGCACCAAATACCCAATTTTTGTCCGATTAAGACAAAATTTGGCGTAATTTATGAAATTGATACCAGGAGAGAGTTTGTAAAGTTTCATTGAAATCGGATCAGATATATATATATAGCTCATATATACAGCTTCGTCCGATATTTTGTAAATAATGCACCAAACTTCCAAGTTTTGTTCGATTGTGACGAAATTTGGCATAACTTATGGGATTGAGACTAATATAGAGGGTGTTAAATTTCATTCAAATCGGTTCAGATTTATATATAGCTCCTATATATAGCTTTGTTCGATATTATATATAAATGGTGCACCAAACACCCAATTTTTGTCCGATTGAGACAAAATTTGACATAACATATGGAATTGATACTAGGATAGAGTTTGTGAAGTTTAATTGAAATCGGATTAGATATAGATATAGCTCCCATATATAGCTTCCTCAGATTTTATGTAAATGGTGCACCAAGCTCCCAATTTTTGCCCGATTGTCACGAAATTTATCAGAGCCTACTGAATTGAGACTAGTATAGCGAGTGTGAAGTTTCATTGAAATCGGATCATATATAGATATAGCTCCATATATAGTTCATCCGATTTTAGGTAAATGGTTATCAAACTCCCAAAGTTTACATATAGCTCCCATACATAATTTTGCAGGATTGACATGGAATTTTTCATAGATATCAAAATGGTATGTGTATGGTTTTTCCATATATATGCAGATTACATATTTCATTTCGCCCGATTCCAATACTATGGTCCTCCATGGTTGGCCCCAACCGACTTTTGAACTTTCCTCACTGATTTTTTAAAGAGTTTGTGATTTTTTTTTAAATCCACGCAAGTGAAATATATTTTATAACCCCTGTTTTTTTTTACAAATTTTATTAAGTACGCTTTTAAAATATCTCTTAAAAAACATATTTTTTAAAAAAATCAGATTAAAAAAATGTCTGAATTATCATCATTGACTTTTCAAATATTTGATAATAATTCACGTATTTGTTTTCACTTTGGTTATGCCCAAAATATTGCAAAAGAATTTTTATTATGTGGATGGCATGTCAACAGAAATGTTTTGTTTTCAGTTTTTTTCTTTTCGAATTTTCATTTTCAGACATCAGTCTGAAATTTTCCTTCGAAACATGAAAATATGCAATTTTATCACTTTGATGTGTATTTTTCAGCAGTCTGTCTACTTTTTTGTGAAAATAACATGTTCACATATATGTGTATGTCGTCATCTATTAACCTACTTTTGAAGGAGTTGCAATTACACAGAGCTACTGGAAAATCCAATCCGTGTCGACAAGAAGACAAAAGGCTTCGAATCACAACAAAAACTTTAAAAAACGAAAAAATGGAAAAATAATCACGGCAACTAAAACAAACGAGATATCAATGAATGAGAGAAAAATGTTGTAGATTTTCTTTTTCTGTTGGTTTTTGAATATTTTTTTTTTTTGGTTCACAAAATGTTGGCGTTTTAAATTGTAATAAACGGGGGGTTTCAAACAAAAAAAATATTCAAACTAAAAATCATGATATTTTTATTGTTGGCACTACTAAAACAATTATTACACTAATTTAAACGAAGCCACCAAGCAGAGTTATTGTGGTGTTAGTTTACTAAGACTACCACATCAGCAAAGTTAAGGAAATCACCAATACATATGCAATAATTTTTAATGTAGTGGTAAAATTCCTTCTTCAGTCACCTATACCAAGATAACTGCTCGCCATGGAACTAGGGCTTTGGCTTACCAATACATTTGTAAATGGCAAATGGTGTGTGTAGTGGTTAGTTGTTATGGTTGTTTATTCGGAGAGTCAAATCTCCGATTTCATTCTCAATTTCAAACACAAAAAAGCTTTCGGTTTTGTTTTGGTTGTGATTTTTGTTAATTGCAATTCACTCTCACTTTTATTTGCTGCAGATGGTTGGTTTGTTGGTGGATAGGTTCGTTGGCTTTGTGTTTCTTGAGCTCTCCCGGCCACTGCTCTTTTGTTTTAAGCCGGATTTATTAAAAAAAAAGCTTTTTGTTAGTTGATATTAAAATTGTTTTTTTAATATTAAAGACTGCCACCAATTGGCAAATATTTTTATGAGTTTCCATACTCTTTGAGTCGGGGTTTTTTGTTGGTGTTGCTAAAATTTGTGTTCGCTCACTTTGCTCGCTCTGCCGCTCGTCTTTTTTCTGTCTGTCTTCCCAGCTTACCCATGCCATGGTTAGCTCAGTGTTTTAACCAAAACTTTTAGTCACATTTAAGAGCGTGGCGTATATAAGCGACCAACTGACCAAAGACAGCATCCAGTTAAAGGTTTGGAATCGTAGCGGATTCTACAAATCCTTACCATCCAAAGCAAATCCAAACTAAAGGTGTTTTGTGTGTGTGTGTTTGACAGAAAGGTGGATATTTAAAGCAAACTGTTATTTTTATGAAATGTTTTCTAGAACTTTTCTTTTCAAAAAAAAAAAAAAATTAAATAATTAAATAATTAAAATAACAAAGACATTAATATCTAAAATAAAAATTAAAGTATCTATTAAATTAAAAATTTAATTAAAAAACTTGCATTAAAAAATAATTAAAATAATTTAAAAAATATTCTAATTGTGTTGTTTATATTCTTCTTCCCGATTTTTGTTTTAGTAAGACGTAACCTTACTTCAATAAATTAACAACAACCAACAACAAAAAGTGGGTGTGTGGTGTCTGTGCAATACATTCCAATAAAAAAAATCACCATGAAATTATTTGTAAGTATTTCAAACAAAAGTGTTATATAAAATAACTCAAATTCAAAAAAAGAAAATGAGAGAAGTGAATTGTGTGGAGCTAAGATTTTATAACAAAAAAAGATGTGGGAAAATAAAAAAATTATATATATTAGAAATAATTGTGAATCCTTGGAAAATAGTGTTCGGTTTACCATTCAGAATTATTAATTAAATTTTTTTTTGAAAAAAAAAAAAAATTTTATTCTTTGAAGTATATATTAGAGACAGGTATCGTTCTTGGGTAGAAATTAACATACGTATTCACTACCATATGCTAAAAAGTAATTTGGAATTTTTGAAATTTTTTTATGGAAAAGTATTAAATATATTTTGAACTTTAAACAAAAAAAGTACATTTGAGGCATACTATTTGTATATCCAATCATAGGGTCGTACAACCAGTGCTTATGAATATCATCTTCAAATATATCCAAATATGGATCACAATATCCTTGTCATTTTAGTTCCCAAAAATTATATCTCACCAACCAAAACACATTTCGTCCAGGATTGTTTTTATTTAATTTACTAATATATTTATTATTCTTTTGTGGATAGAAAACCTATGGGTCATATTATTCTTCTTTTAGCCATAAATTCAGCCAATACAGCCTGCAACATAGACAATCGAATCACTAACTATTTATACATCCTTACAGTGATAATAGGAAGTTTACCTTCACATTTTATAACCTCCACTCATTCCCTGTGTTACTTAACGGAATTACTCGTATATCTTTTCATGATCAAGGTAAAATTCTGAGACGGCCTAGCCCTACCCGTTTGCCCGTATTTTAGTCAAGTCCACTTCTAGACAGAAAGGTTCGTCAAATCCACTTTTAGACATAGCCACCATGTAAATGCATCCTCAAATTTCAAAACCCGAAAACACACAAAACCCCAAAAATGTGGATCGCTTTTGAAGGCATGGTCGGGTGGAACATGTGTATAAAACTCCCAAAATACTACACATTAAAGGGCAAAGTTATATGAGACAATCACCAACGTATATAGGATTTTATTGCAGGGGTCTGGTGGAAACTGCTGGTTCAATATGCAAATTTTCATAAAAGAAAAAAATTGTATGCGTACATCAATTGAGTTTATACCTAAAACGGGACTAATATTTATTACATCGTGTAAGAATTACCGAATCCTTGGAGTTATCTTTGTATGAGGTGCTATGCCCAATTAAAAGAGCGACATTTCGATCATAACATTTTTGCATCACAATAGCTCCCTTCACGCTAAACATTAAAAATGCCGAAATTGGGTTGGTATCATTATATGGGGCCTTGGCCTAAATGTCTGCCGGCATATGGTGGAATACGGCTGTATGGAAACAATCCCATAACGGGGAACAAATCGTCGGACTTGGGTGGCTATAAGATACCCTTCACCCCTTTGGGTATATTGTTCATATGTATCCTTACAATTGCATGTCAAAGTTCCCTCGATGGAGCACACTCATGCCTTTCTGCAACCTATGCTAAATTTAATTTCATTCGGGCAGATTTAAGTTGTTTGGAACTGGAACCGCACTGTTAAAAATTTAATCTCAATCAAACACCTGTTCGAAATATATATGGAAGATATGTCTTAATTTAATTAAAAATTGGGAGCTTGGTGCACCATATAACTAAAATCCGACGAAAATATATATGTGGGAGCTATATCTAAATCAGAACCGATTTCCTTCAATTTCAATAGGGTTGGTTCTTGGGCCAAATAAGTGACTTGTCACAAATTTTATCCAAATCGGATCAAAAGTGCAACGTGTACTTTGTTAACAATTTAATATCTATGGACATGTATACATCGACTCAGAAAGTGATTCTATGCTTATTCTGTTACAAAATCTACACATTGCTGTTACAAAAATATGCTAAGAGGCATAATAACCTGTATCAGATTGGGTGGAAGGGTATAAAAAGGGGTTATATGGGGACTACCCCTGAAGCGGGGACGAATATTAATAATTTTTGAAAATGTGCATTTCTATATATATTTGTAATTTTTATTGGAGAGTTTAAGTACATAATAAGAACCAAATGTTCCAAATTACAGCGAATTGGGTTATTCATTTATAACCCCCTAATAACCCAATGAACCAAATTTCAGCGAATTTTGTTTAAAAACGCGCTCAAGAACCCCAAAATACCGAAAATTTGGGGGGTGGTACTCTCATATGGAGGCTGTGTCTAAACGTCGACCGTTATAGCTCATCTTCGAACATGACGTGCCTGCAGAAAAAAGACAACTAAATGCAAAATTGCAACACCCTTTCTCAATTCCTTCAGAAGCGTGATTACAACAGACGGACGAACATTCCTAGATCGTCTTAAGGTCGGAAATGGATATTTCGATGAGTTACAAACGGGATGACAAAATTAATATACCCTACATACTATGCTAGAGGGTATAAAAATGTAGATTTGCCTCATGATTACATTAAATTAGTTTTGCTCCCAAAGAATGTCATATTCCACCGAGCTAGCCACCTGTGGGTGACGTGTATTGTTCTCTAAACAAAAGATAACCATAAAAATGTAATAGTCGGTAAACGGGCGATACTACGAACCATGTCTACTCGGAGTAAATATATATCTCATAAATATTGATGGGTTATCATCAAAGGGGTCATGTCGTAATGTTTCTTTGATCTGCTGCCAGTGAAAAATTGCATGAAGTTCAGGTGACATTTGTGGCATCTAGAGTGACCAGAGTGAACAGACAAAAATTATGTTGAAATTTTGGCTATTTACTTCTCTAAATATTAACCAATAATTTTCTTATTTAGTGCAGACCGAACCTACATGTAAAATGCCAAAATAGACACTGATCGTGATGTTGCAAACTTTTAGGGCCACATAAACTTATAATATCCTCACAACACACGAGTTTCGTAGGGTTATCAATATCGGTCCACCGTTCGGCAATTTTTAGATTATAATAAGCTTTTCAATCGAAATGTCTGTATTCTCATTGGTTATCACATATTTTCTTACACGTTTTAATCAATATTGGTTTATCTTTAACACTCCCTTCTATTTTTTAGAAAATTGGTCCATAACGGATTTTTAAAAGGTCGGTCTATATGTAGAGCAAATATCAAAAATGAGAAAATATGAGTATTACGGCTTTTAATTTCACTCCTGGGAGATATGATACGAAAAAGTTGCTAGTGTATAAAAGTGAAATTCATACCAACTAGATTGTTGGGTCTACTCAGATGTTGGAGTTCTTCTATAATATTTATAAGGGTCTATATACTCTGATATAGTGCCTAATATTGACATAAGCGTCAATCGTTACGAAATTCTGCAAATTCTGAATGAATTTCAAAAGCGATACCTATAATCGATTAATATTTAGGGAATAAAATCGGCAAAAAATATAATTAAGTCTGTCTAAAAAATTAGAGGAGGATATATAATCCGAACTCCATGAACATTTACATGGAAAAGGGAAAAGGGATAGCCTGTCTGCTACTTTTATAATCGATGTAAAATTATATAAAATGTTCATTCTAAAACGAGGGAATTTTCTTTCCATAATTTGTCACAACAACGTTGGAATATTCCCATAATTCTTATTTTATTATTCTATTCCCAACATTCTTATTAGATTATTTATTTAATGGAATATATGTTAAGGGTTTATTAGTGAATGCAAATTCGAGGATAAACAAAAGACTTAGGAAACGAACTTTTTTCTTTATGTTAATGATTTTTATAAATTGGAACTTTACAATATCCAACAGATAGTTTCTCTTTTTTTAGAAATGCATATATCCCCCATTTCTATAATATCATTTAAAAGCATGCTTAATGACAAAATCGCGGTTGTCTGCAAATGCCATGTTGACCACGAAGTCGGGCACCAACGAACTTCTCATTGAGTTGGTATCGCTGGTAACTGAAGTACTTCGATTTGTTACAAGATACATTTAGGTATGAAAAAAATACTTTTCCAGATTTTCCAAAATTACAAAAAAACCAACTTTTTTTAGTTAAACCCTGTTGTAATTTGCCTCTTGATCCATTCCCTTAGCTAGTTCCACATTTGTTTTTACATTTTCTCACTAAAAATCATCATGAAACACCGATTCGATGATAAAAACAAAAGACTTAGGCAACAAACTTTGTTTCCTTTTTTAAATGACTCCTCTTATTTCCTGTTTCCTTCAGCCATTATCACATATTCAGTGATACAGAAAATCACTATATGACAAAACAAAAGACTTAGGCAACAAGCACAAATTAATTTTTTTATTGCAATTACAATTTTTTTATTACAATTACAAATTATCGCCACCTTCTAACACATTGACATACTTACAGCAAAAATACAAAATACAGTTAATCGTTTATAATATCCACTAAACTCAAGTGACAATAATTATTACGTATAGACAATTAACAATTATCTAATCACAAAAACAAAAATACGACACAAATCTAGTATGTGGAATTTTTAAGGCAATAACGATTAAGTAATACGAGTCGAGTACAACCACCCAGCTAAATGAAAGTGCGTCATAATTTGGTTTGAGGAAAAGTGGGTTGGGTAGGCAGGCACGAGAGACAGACAGGTACTGAGTGTGCCTCTGTTTTTAGTTAGGCTACTGTCACACAATTTTAAAATTTTAATTCAAAAACCAAATGGCCAATATATATAGCCATGCAGATGACCAATATAGCCATTTGGTTGATAAACAAGTGAAATTGCTTTTTGTCGGGTTTCGAAATGTAACAATACCATATGCAGAGGAGAACCTGACTGGCATGGTTGAGGACAGACATATAAAAAACTAAATTAAAAATTAAACGCACATGACACTATCAAAAATTGATTATCAAATTGATAGTGGATATCAAAATATTGTTTATTTTATTTATTTAAAAAACAAACAATTAAAATTGTAAACACGATAACTATTATATTTTTTTGATTTTAATATCAAAAAATATATTAAAATTGCAATAATGATATTTACAAAATTTTTGGACCCTCCCTAGCCAACAACATGCTCTTTTGAATTAAAATTCAAAAAATTTCGTAGAAAAAGTTTTCAAACAAAAAGTTCAAAAAAATATGATTAACCATGCATAACTGATTTCAAATACTTGGGCGAAAAAACAATAACAATTACTCGACAATTTTCTAGACAAGAAATAGCTACTTGTAATGCATTCCAAAAACCGAACGTTATAATCATAATATTTCCGTCAACAAAGAAACCACCCAAATGTTGATAAAAGAAATCAAAAACAAAACAACAACCAACAACAACAGACATGCAACACAGCAAAAACCAACTGTATGGCTAAACAAAATTGAAGAAAAAACACAAACAAAAAATACCGGCTAGCATATCAGCAGTATGACATGTCTGGACTGGCTAAGCAGCACCGAAGACACACCACAAAAAAACAAAACCGCCTTAAAATAATAAAAACAAAAGCTTGTGTGTTTGACGATTTTTTGTGGTAGGTCGGTTTTGTTTGGAACATTTTTTTTTTCTTTTCTGTTTGATTTTTTTTAATTTACCTCCCAGCTAAGCTACTCTGCTACCGCTTCACATTTGACTATCATATATTAAATCTTTCATTTCTTTTTTTTTCGTCCATTTTATTTTGTTATTTATATATTCTTTCCTTTGCTGAATCATTGTTGTGATCTTCTTCATTTTTCTTTTTTTTTTCATTGCAAATTTTAATGTGAAACACATTTTTTGTTTGCATAAATCAACCTTTAATGACATTTTATTTTGGTGAGAGGGGGTGGGAGAGTGTTGGGTATATTTAACAAGGTCATTTGCATTCATTCAACACCTGTTCCAAATGAATTAGCGGTTGTTTCATTTTTGGTTTTTGGCGGTTTTACAAACAAAAACATTCACAAGAGTTGGAGGATGTTTGTAATTTCCTAACATAATACGAAAGACTTAAGACACGAACTTGAGCAATTACACTTTGAATGGTTGAAGGTTAATGGGTTTGTTGTAAGCGCCAAATTAATGTGATTAGAGTGGGTGGATGAATTCTAATGGAGGTAAAATATATCACAATTATTTATTTCTGCAGAAAATGGAACCAAAATAAAATACCGAGAAGGGCATGGGTAAGACGACTCTGACTCAGAAAAACTATTTCTATTTCATAAAAAAAAAACATTTTATTTACCATTTTAATGTTTCTAGATCAGAATGACGTTGGATGTTGTTGAAATTACGAAAGAGTTCGCAAAAATTCAAAATTAATTCATAGGGTATATTCCGCATTTTAAATCGATTATGCACGATTTTCAACCTAATCACTCACTGAGTAGAAAATCACCCTAATAAAAATTATCAATATTGGTTCACTTTTTAGGATAGCAAAGCAACATCCCAAACTTCGATATTTTGGCGAAATCTCCCTACCGAATATAAGCCCATGTCTCGGTGTAGGCCCCATATAACGGTACATCCTAATATTCGGTATTTTAAAACCATTAACCCCACGATTTTCAACCTCATCACCTGTAATTTGGAATTTTGGATTCTCACTGTGTAGAAAGTCATCCTAATAAATATTATGCAACATCTCAAATTTCGGTATTTTGGGGAATTTGTGCATTTTTTTCAACCTAATCGGCTCCACTTTGATATGTTGCATTTTCATTGAGAAGAAAATCTCCCTACAAAAAAATATGAATATTGACCCAAGTTTCCGGGTAGCCAACGATGGTTCAAGCTGCATTTTCCAGCCGAAAATGCTTTAATTTGGCATATCGATTTTTTGGAAGCTGGCATATCTTTGGGCATAGCCTCCATATAAAGATCCCGCCCATTTTCTAAAAAGCTCTGATTTAGCAAAAATCTGCGGGGAGAATGATCAATGTAAATTAATATTTTGTCATACCCCGTCATATAAAGGTCCAGCAAAATGTTCGCTTTTTTGAGGATTTTGTCTTCATTTCCAGCCATAAAGGCTTAAATTTGGTAAAGAAATTACTTCTCCCCAGAAATTTTTGAATACTTGTAAAAAAATACAGAGGTTCCGCTTTTTCAAGCTTAGTTTTCCAACCTATATGTCGTAATTTGGTATTTAAATATCTAAGAGTATAAACAATCGCTTAGCTGACAATTCACCATGACATTGTCTCTATATAAAGGTCTCGACTTTATAAACAATTTTTGAATGTACATCACATGGTGGAAGGTTCAAAAGGGTGAAAATATTTTAAACGAAATATTTTATAAAAAATCAAAAATTTTGACCCTAGAAAATATTCATTTTTTTACATACAAGCTTCTGACAGTCCATTAAAAAATATGGTTGACCCACAATTAAAAAAAATTAATAGTCACTAGAAAAATATTTCCAATTGTACGATTCCTTTTTTCTAATAAATTGCAGCCAATATCGTTCTAGCCGATTCAAAAGTCCCAAGAAAAAGTTTGTTATATATTTCAAATTGCTTTTAACAACTACAAAAGTGACTAAAAGAAATGTACTTTAGTACTGCTTTTCCATACAATTATATAAATGATTTTAAAATTATTCTACCCTAAACTTACCACATATTATAGAAATTTTATGATCGATTTTGGGAACTTACCTGAAAAGAAACAAAAATAACAATAATTTTATATTAAACATTTTGCCTCCATATTATTTAAATATCATTACTAAATTAAATTCATTTGTTAATAAGTTTTTCTTTTTGGACTGTTTGTTTCTTAAATATTTGCTCTCTCACTCCCACAATGTTGGCATATCATTTTTTAGAAGCCACCCATCATTGTGATGTCATTATAATAAAGAGATCAACCTTATTGGGATTCTCTCTCACTCTCTTCATTTCACTGGGCGTTTTTTGTTTTACAGCTCTGTAGGTTAGCTAGTGTTGTTGGAGTCAATGTTAGTTTCTTAGTCAGTTCTAACATAGGTGCCCAAAATTAAAATGCGTTAGTATGTGTGAGAGAAAACAGAACAGTACTGAACAAAATTGTGTGTACATTTTTGTGGTCGGAAAAAATTATTGATGAATTTAATTTTTGTTATTATATAAAATAAAAGCATTATTAAAAATGTTTTTATATGAATTACAAAGTGTATATGTCATAAAAATCTAATAAAGTTTATAAAGTAGCATATAATATAATAATCATATTATAATATTAAATACTACGATAATTATCAAATATTTAATTCTTTAAAAAAAAGAAATTGTTCTGTTATTTTTAAAATTTTTTAAACATACAAAACGCATTTTGAATAATAAAATAAAAATCCAAATATACTGAAACACTTTTATCCCTAAGTGTTATTTCGTTGATTTTCTAGTTCTGCGGACACGAAGTCGTGCGCGCACCCCAGCATGAGTTCATTCGTTGACTGTCAAACAACGACTGACTGAAAGAGCATAACAATGCGTGTGAGTAGGCAGCTACTTTAAAGTATACTGATGGGCACCTATGGTTCTAACCATAGGTGCCCATCAGTATATGTGTTTTTTCTTCTTCTTGTGACTCTGTTATTTAGTGTTGTTTTGAAGGCTATGAAAACAAATCAATTCTTGTTGGGAGACCACATGGTATTACTCTCTTGCTCTCACTCCCTTTGTATTAAGCATGCCCGTTATGCCCAATGGAGCATGTTTGTTTCTTAAGTCTTTCAGTTATCAATGCGTTATTATTAGGTTGTGAGCAAGTGGGGTAATAAACTGAATTTAAATTAATTTTAAAATAATATTTTTAATAAAATTTAATAAAAAAATTAATTATTAAATAACATTAAAGTATAAAAAAATAAATACTGAAATTTATATGGTAGTTGACCTAGTAAAAAGAATTTGTATATGGGAGCTATATTAAAATCTTAACCGATTTTAATTTATTAATAAAATAAATAAGTAATTAAATCCTACTTTAAAGTCATTAATAACTTTAAATATTTATGTTTGAAATCTACAATTTATTAAATTCATAATTAACTAATTTTCCCTTCTCTTCCCCATCTTTCCAGATCTGTCTTGCCACATTGTTGGTGGCTTCAGCCTACGCTGAAACTGCTGCCAAAAAATCCCTCAACGAAAAGAAGGTACCACTCGAAAAGAAATTGGACAAACGTGGCCTTCTAGAATTGGGTTATGGTTATGGTCACTCCGGTTTGGATTTAGGCTATTTGGGACATGGTTCAATTACCTCCGGCCATGGTTATGGTTATGGCAGCAATGCCATTATTGGTCATTCGGGCCCAGCTGTTGCTTATGGTCACAGTGCACCACAAGAATTTTTGATTAGTCAAATGGCTGATGTCCATAAGACCATCACCATTACAAAGGGTGTTCCTGTACCAGTAACCGTTGATCGTCCCTACCCTGTGGAGCATATTAAACATGTACCCGTTGAGGTTAAGGTACCCGTACCACAACCCTATGAAGTTATTAGAAAGGTACCCGTTCATGTTAAGGAATACGTTAAAGTACCCGTCCATGTTCCCCAACCCTATGAAGTTATCAAGAAGGTTGAAGTACCCGTCCATGTTCCTGTCGATCGTCCTTATCCCGTTAAGGTTCCAGTGCCACAACCCTATGAAGTGATTAAGCATGTGCAAGTGCCCGTTAAGGTTCCCGTACCACAACCCTATGAAGTGGTGAAACATGTCCAGGTTCCCGTTAAGGTACCAGTGCCAGTACCCCAACCCTATGAAGTTATTAAGCAAGTTAAGGTCCCCGTCCATGTACCAGTTGATCGTCCAGTCCCTGTTGCTGTACCTAAACCTTACCCCGTCACTGTGGAGAAACCCTACCCTGTTGTCTATGAGAAACAGGTGCGTGTTGAGGTACCCGTACGCGTTGACCGTCCCTACCCAGTGCCTGTAGATCGTCCCTACCCCGTTAAGGTACCTGTGCCAGTTCCTCAACCCTACACCGTTGAGAAGCCAGTGCCCTATGCTGTAGATCGCCCAGTGCCTGTACCAGTCAAGGTTGAGGTGGATCGCCCCTACCCAGTACATGTCACCCGCCCCGTGCCCGTTCATGTTGAGAAGCCAGTACCCGTGCCCGTAGGTGTACCCGTTGTTGCTGGCCACTCCGTTGTTCAACATGGCGCCGCTGTGGTGTCTGCCCCTGCTGCCGTTAGCTATGGTGGCGGCTACGCTGTCTCTGGTGGTGGTTATGGTCACGGCGGTTATGGAGGCTATGGTCATGGTGGTGCCGTCTATGAATCCCATGGAGGTTATCATCACAAAAAGAAGTAAGCTATCGGAGGCTCATGACAATGAACTCTCATAGGCCACTCTAACAAAAAACAACAACAACAAAATCCCAAAAATTAACAACAACAAAAAACGACAGAAGAGTGTAAATGATTTTCTTTTCGTTTATTATTTTCTTTCTGCTTAGAAGAAGAAGAAGAAGAAGAAGGAGATGAAAACATGAACTAGTTTTAATTTTTATTATTTTATCCTCCCCCCTCGTTCCCCTTTTCACCCCACCTCCATTTTTCCTTTGTCGAAAAAAGGGAAAAAACTTTGCCACTATTTTTATTAAAGGGTTTTCCAGAATTGGCCTCTGTTGGAAGATAAGTTGGGAAATGAAGCGAAAATTGTGAAGAGAAAAAAATCACCGAAATTAGTTAAGAGAATATTGAAGCTCTCTTACTTTTGTATTTAAGCACTGCCACAAATTGAAATCCTCTTTATTGAAGGATTTGTTCTAATATTTTTCTAACTAAATTTTTATAATAGACAATTTATTATAAATCTCTTAGTTTTCTAAGTTATTCTAAAAAATTAATATTTTTCTAAAAGGCCTAAAGGAATCTCCACAACACTTCGGGTGGGCAAAGTAAAAATTGTGATACAAAATATTGAAAAAAAAAGATTTTCCTTTGCTTCACTTCGAATTGTTGTGGTGGTTCCGACACGGCGAAAAATATTCACCAGCTTCAAATTGCTTAACTAGTACATCGAAACAAAAAATGAGAATAATCTCTTTTGCATCCCTTCCCAACCTATCTTTGATTTTTGGAGGTCGTTGATTGGAAAATCCGCCAAATTTTATTTTATTTGTATTTTATTTTTATTTGTTTGCCTTTTGTGTATAAATTAATATTTCATTCTTTCGTTTCTATTTTTTATGTTATGTTTAATGTAAACAATTTTTTTTTATATATGTGTATGTTTAAAAACAATTTTTATTTTTTTGTAAATAAGTCTACTAAGAAGAAATGTGTAAAAAATGAATGATTATGAAAACAAAATAAAGAAAAAACCAATTATATTAAAAAATATAAAAAAACATGGCAAGTGTTTTATTCAGAGGAAATTTCAAAATTATTTAATTATTTAAAAAAATAGTTTAAGAAGAATAAGTCGAAAGTTTTCAAAAATAGTTATTTAGTACACATTAATATAATTTTCCATAACTAGCTACTTTAACAATCATAAGCACGAATTTCCAAAACTTCCCACATACCCCAATCTTAATTCCAAATTTCAGGATTCTATCGGTTCACCTAAATCACAATTAGTACCACTTAGAACACATAAGTTAAAATTTCCATTAATACCTACATTATGCAATCCGATGGAAATCTCATTACCCAATTTTAGGATTCCAGCTCTATCGGTTCACTCTTAATCCAAAATGTACCAAATTTTGTGTAATAAAGAACATATTAGTAGGTATTTCCAAAACTTCCTACATACCCCAATCCAACACCCCAACAGTGATCCCAATTTCAAATGTCAAGATTCGAGCACAATTGGTTCAACGAAATCCCAGTTTGGTACTTTTTAGTACACATTAGTACGCATTTACAAATCTTCGTACATATCCTACACCCAGCTCTATCAGATCACCCTAAATTTAAATTTTACCAAATTTAGTACAATTTAGTACTCATAAGTATTAATTTCCAAAACTACATCCATACCATCATTCTACACTCCAACAGTAAACTTATTTCCAAATTTCAGTGTTCCAGCTCTATCGGTTCGCCCAAATCATTTGGTACCATTTTGTACACATTGGTACAAAATTTCAAAACTTGCTACATATCCCAATCCTACACTACAACAGTGATCCTTACATCAAATTTCACGATTCACACTTTATTAGCTCACCTAAAATTCAAATTGTACCAAATTTAGTACACAATAGTACCAATTTCCGAAACTTCCTAAATACCCCAATACTACACCCCCACAGTGATCCTAAATCCAAGTTTCAGGATTCCAACTCTATCCGTTTACCCACAATTCAATTTGCACCTTATTTAGTACACCATAGTACCTAATTCAAAAACATCATACATACCCCAATCCTACACCCACAAAGTGATCCTAACTTCAAATTTCAAGATTCCACCTTTATCGATTCACATAAATGGTACCATTTAGTATATAGTAGTATGAATTTTCAATACCAAAACTTCCTACATACCCCAATCCTACACCCAACAGTGATCCTAACATCAATATTCCAACTTTATCGGTTCACCCAAATCCAAATTTGGTACCATATAGTACACATTAGTACGAATTCGCAAAATTTTCTGCATACCCCAATCCTACACCCCAGCAATGGTCCTAACTCCAACCTAGAGGATCCCTTCTCTATTGGTTCATCCAAATCCAAATTGTACCAATTATAGTACGATTTAGTACTTTTCGTACACATACGTAAAAAACTTCCAATTAAAAATAAACGTTACTTAGGTTGGAAAATTCGGCTAAAAACAACAAAATACCTACAAAGTCTTTATATTGGGCCCAAATACAGATGGCCGGTAATTGTTCGCTCTTAAAATCTCTAATAGCTAAAGTCGCTAAATTCGACTAAGACCTGGCGAGAGGTGGCCTTGTTTCTAAACTGCTTACTTAGACCATAGTAGCATCTGTTGGCCATCACAATCCTTCTCCGAATTTCAAAACTGATATCATTCGTTTTATTTATGGCGGTACCAAGGTATATAAAGTCTTTAACTACCTCGAAGCTGTAGTTCTCAAGTTCCACAGTTGGTCCGAGTCTACTGGACGTCTTGCGCGTTGATACCATCAGCTTGGTCTTCTCGCCGTTTACTGCCAGACCCACTTTAGCAGACTCCTTTTCAATTTGTTCAAAGGTGGCTGTTACCGCTCGCAATGTTCGACCCATTATATCGATGTCATCGGCGTAGGCGAGTAACTGGTGTTGTTTGGTGTACAGAGTGTCATTTCTGTTCACCTTTGCGTCTCGTATGACCTTTTCCAGTAGGATGTTAAAAAGATCACACGACAAACTGTCACCTTGTCTGAATCCTCGTTCGGTATTGAAGGGCTCCGATAGGTCCTTTCCTACTTTAACGGCTGACCTTGTGCCACTTAAAGTTATCCTGCATAGCCGTATTAATTTTGCAGGAATGCCGAACGCAGACATGGCTTTAAACACCTCTGAACGGATAGGGCTGTCGAATGCGGCTTTATAGTCGACAAATAGGTGATATGTGTCGATGTGTTTTTCGTGGGTCTTTTCCAGGATTTGGCGCAGAGTGAAAATCTGGTCAATGGTCGATTTGCCAGGTCTGAAGCCGCATTGGTATGGTCCGATGATGTCATTGACCATTGGCTTCAATCGTTCACACAGCACACTGGATAGCACTTTATATGCGATGGGAAGGAGACTTATTCCTCTATAGTTGGCACATATCGTCTTGTCTCCTTTTTTGTGCACGGGACACAGGATGCTGAGGTTCCAATCATTGGGCATGCATTCATCTAGCCAAATTGTGTTAATCAGCTGGTGCATGCTCCTGACCAGCATCTGGCCACCAGTCTTGAATAGTTCGGCTGGTAACCCATCGGCTCCTGCTGCTTTGTTGTTCTTGAGCCGATTAATTGCTTTTATGACCTCATCTTGGCTAGGTGGTATACACTCTATACCATCATCTCCTATTGGTTCTGGGGTATCTTCTTCATCGCCACTATTTGATACCAGAAGCTTTTCAAAATGCTCCTTTCAGATCCTCAACACGCTGTCTGTATCTGTCACCAGGTTTCCTTCTTCATCTCTACAGGAGGATGTGCCTGCACCAAAGCCTTCGGTTTGGTGTTTTACTCGTTGGTAAAATTTCCCGACTTCATACTGACTCCTGTACATCTCGATTTGCTCACGCTCATGTTTTTCTTGTTATTTCTTCATTTTCTAAAAATACATTTCTCCTCTCTCCCTTTCTCCCAATAATTCTCCATCACATTACGTGTTGCTACTGTCTGCAGGGTTGCCCTATACGCTGCGTTTTTCACATCAGTAACATTACGACACTCCTGATCGTACCATGGGTTTCTTGGTGGTGGTTTTTGGTACCCAATTGTTCTTTTTGCTGCAGTTTGTAGGGAGTGGGCAATTCTTTGCCATTGTGTTTCTATACTATTATCGGGACAAGAAGTGCTTTCTTCAAGCAGATGGGTAAGTTGAGCGGAGTAGGCCTCGGCTACCTGTTGTGTTTGCAGCTTTTCGACGTCGAGTTTCCGTGTTGTATTAGATCGCACCTTTGCTGCAACATTTAGACGGGTGCGTACCTTGGCTGCCACAAGGTAATGGTCCGAATCGATATTCGCTCCTCGGATCGATCGGACGTCTAACACACTGGATGCATGCCTTCCGTCTATCACAACATGATCAATTTGATTTCTCGTTACTTGATCAGGAGTCCTTTAGACGTTTGCGGGGGTCGTCAACATTAGGGGGGTTTGGTTTTCTTTTTCTTTGCTTTTTCATAGTAGGTTGGGTTTTCCGAGGGTGGGCAACTAACCCGACGCCTCAACCCATTTTTTTATAGTTCTTATGGGTGAACTCGCGGCACATGTTAGCTCACTATTTCATCGGGTGATGAGAATAGCTCCCCAGGTGACACCGCGGGGGGGGGGGGGTCAGTGTCCACAATTGAGATGAAAGAGGGACCAAGATAAGCCTGGGCTTCGCCATGTTAAAGCCAATCAGAGCCGTTGCTTGGTATCTATCATCCCCTACGCCACCAATCAGTCCCTAATGATTTTTACGAACTTTGGCAGTGGATCTCATGTGATTGGAATAATATTTCTAATGAAATCGCACTAGAACTGATTGAAATATGCGAAATTGCATAAGTGACACATTAAAAATATACAACTAGGGTATAAGTCTGGATTTACACATGCAACATTTTTAAGCAACACAGCTGCGGCTCTTTTAGAGAGAACTCAGGAACTCTGAGTTCGTATTCTGCATTTTTTTT